GCGCTCAGGGCGCCCCGTTCCGGGACGAGCCGACACTCGGCCGCGCCGTCGGGGACCCCGGTGCGCCCCGCCCCGCGGCTGCTCGGCCTCGGGCTGGGGCTGGTGCCGGCCGCTCGCACGTTTGCAGGACGCTCTCCCGGTGGGTCCGGGCCCTGGGCGGAGGCGGCCCGGCTTTGGCGCTCACGGGCATAAGGGCCAGACCCGGCTCGCAGGAATCAGCTCGTGGTTTCACCAGCAAACGACCGACTCCGTGGCGGAGCGAGGCTGCGGGGAGTGGGGCGGCGAGGCCTGGCCCGGGCACACGCGCGGTCCGTCTCGCGCGCGCTGCCGCGGTTCCGTCCCCGCCTGGGCCTCCCCGTCGGGGGTTCGGAGTCTCCTGTCGGGAGTTGCTCAGGAGGTAACTCGAGCCCGCGCAGCGACCCGGGCCCACGACCCGCCCACGGGCCGAACCGGGACCGAGCAGTCTCAGAGCCGGAAGCCCGGGGCGCGTGGGGCGCCACGTTCAGGGGCTCGGCGCGGGTGCGCGGCTGCAGGGGCCCCGCTCCAGACCAGAGCCCCATCCTGCAGACGTGCCGGCAGGGTTCGAAGGAGAGCGCAGCGGACCCTGAGCACCAGCGAAGGGCGGGCGCTGAGCCAATGCTGGGCGTTGTCGCCTCGTCCTCGTGGGCGGTGTCGCATATGGATTTAGTAGTAACACGCGGCTATTGCTATTATCCGCTCCGTGACCCGAATATGTGCAAAGGGACCACCGTTTTGTGGCTGGGGGCTGTGCGGGCAAGGTCGCCTCTCTCGCGCCTGGTCAGATCCTCGGCAACGACTTTCCGGTTTTGCCCTGGCCGCCAGGGTTTCGGTGCTGCGGAAGAAGACGGCCCCCGCGGCTCGGCTCAGAGGTCTCGCGTCCACTCCCGCCGCCCCCTCCTGGGTCCATTTTCGTTTAGTGCAAATAGCCACGGGCTTGGCGCCGGGCCCCCCGCCAGGGAGCGGCTTGGAAGGCCACTCGCGGCCAGGCTGGGAGGGAGCTCTGAGGTCGCCCTGCCTCGCGTGTGCGCGCATGGGGCTGCCCCGGGGGCGCGGCGCGTGCATCCCCGCGAAAGGCAGGCGGCCCGGCGTGCGTGGGGCTTCGCCTCATCCCGCCTCTCCGGGCGGATCCGCACCCGTGGGACCAACTGCGCGCGGCCGCCCGGCCGGCGACCCGCCAGAGCGGCGCAGCGGGACCGCCCTGAAGACCTGCGCGGCCGAGCCCCGCGCCCGGCTTCGCCCGCCCCGCTTCCTCGGAGGAGACCCGGCGTGTGCGCGCTCCAAGGGCCGGGCCACGGGGAAGACCCTCCCTGGTGGGGTTCGGGCCCCTGTGGGCTCCCCAGGGCGACGCACCAGGGGCCTCGCTCGGGCTCCGAGGCGGACGCGGGAGCCCCGGGCTTGGGGGCGGGGCGTCTTCTCGCCCGCGGGCTCCCCACCCCGCGCGACCCCGCAGACCCGGGGCGGCGGCGGCTCCTCGGGCGTCTGGGGAGGGCCGTGAGAGGCGCGGGTCGCGCGAATACGGACAGGAGAGACGCGGGCGGGCGGGACGGCACGCGCGCCGTCCTCCCGCGGGATGAGGGCCCGGCTCGGGGCGCAGCGCTTGGGCTCCTCGCGCGCCCTGCGGAGCCTCGTCAGCGCTGATTTAGGCTGAGGGGCAGCCACCCTGCGGCGCCGCCCTGCGCCCCGGAGACTCTGCGTCTGTCTACGCTGCCGGGCGGCGGGCAGAAGGCGTGGGGTCCCGGGTGGGGCTGCCGCCTCGCTGGCTTCGGAGCGCGCGGCTCGCCGGGCCGGGGCGCGGGAGGGCGAGGCTGCCAGAGGAGCGGGTAAGGGCGATCCCTTCTCCACAACCTCCTAGCCAGGCGCGCTCCCGGGTGCTCTGTCCTGCGGTTCGCCGGTCCCGAGCCTGCGCCACGGAAGCTCTCCCCTCCCCCGGGACGCCTGGCGCGTGGCCCCCTCCCCGCCGCTGCCGGCGGGGTGTGACGGCTCAACTTCCTTCTCTTCGCTGGGCGCCAATTCTGGGCGTCCGGCGTCCCCTCCAGCCCCAGCGCCCGGCGTCCCTTCTCCTGTCCCCAGGCGCGGCCCTCTAGCTAAGATCCAGAAAAACGCCCCCTCCTCCGGGACGGCCGGGAGAGCCCCCCGCGGAGATGGGAGCGCCTGGGGCTCTCGCTGCCGGCGGGGTGTCCGCAGCGGAGAGGTTCGCGAATGCCACCTCCTGGTCTGGAAGAAAACGCCCTGCACAGGCCGGCCGCGGGCACGTTCAGCGCGCACTTAGCTCATCGTTGGAAAACTCGCCGTGCGTTATTTGGCAGAGACTGCTCAACATTTACTGCATTCATTCAGCATTTATTTGCTGAGTACCTACTACGTGCCAGGCTGGCCTGGGGGAGCCACGTGAGCGCAGCGAGCTCCTGCCCTGGGTACCCCCAGCTCGCGCTGCGGCGGGCAGGGCGGGTCGTGAACGCTTCCTTACTCGCCAGCGTCTGCGGAAGGGACGGGATGATTGATGGGCGTGGGGGTGGGGTCAGGGCAGGTGGTCCCCGAAGGAGGCCGCCCTGCATCAGCAGGTGTCCCAGCCCTCTGTGTGTGGCGGGGGAGGGACAGGCCGGGTCACAGGGGCCTGCACCCGGGAAAGGGGTTTGGATCCCGCCTTCAGCCGAGCAGGAGGCCGCAGCAGTTGACAAAGACCTTATCGAGGGCGCGCTGTCTCGGGCGAGGCCACGCCCACTGCGGGCTGGGGGCTCCGAGGGGCGCTGGCTGTGTCCTCTACGCACGTGCGGGCGAGCTCCCCCCTCCCCCCGCCGGCAAGGCCCCTGCACCGGGCGTTCCAGACTCGCGGGGGCCTCCCCGGGGCGGGCGGAACCACATGAACGGACCCCTGGGGTAGCCCAGGCCGAAACCTTCGGCTGCCCAACGTCGGGCTCAGGGATGGAAGCGGAGAGCTGGGGTGACCGGGCGGAGCTGGAGGGGCCCCCAGAGTTGGGGCGCAGACCCGGATGGGGACGCCGTCCAGGGCTGATCTGGGCAGCGGTGGCTGGAGCTCGCGGACCTCTCGCCGCCGCCTGCTTTACTGCCAGGGTCCGTCTCGTCCCCGTGGTGCCACCCACCCACGCCAGGCCCTCCGCGGCCCCTCGCCGCCCCTCGCCCGCTCTTCCCCGTCTTTGCTGCTGGCTTCCTCCTCTGTTGGGGGTCTCAGCTTGGGGTCACCTGTCCAGCGCGTGGGTAAGGGGACCAGGCACAGATGCCGGGGGGCTGAGTGAGTGCTGTCGTGTGAATGAATGAACGCGCCCCAGGCCCCACGCTCCAGAGCCGGTTCCGAGGCCCCCGTGCGGGCGGGGAGGGCGGTGCTGTGCGCCCCGCCCGCTCCAGGCACTGCGAGCCCGGGGTGGGGGAGGGGCAGTGAGGAAGATGCCGGCACAGCTGCGGTTGCTGTTTGCCTCGCGCTGGGACCCCTGCCGGCTCCTGAGCTGGAGTAGAGTATCCGTGTCAGAGCCTGGGCAGCTCCGGGGTCCCCAGCTCTCGGTGAGGTGTCCACTGCACCCCCAGCCTGGGGCACGGAGGTGCCTTCACTCGCAGCCTCTCCCTCCCTTGCCAACGAGGCCTTGGGGAGAGGGAGGCCCAGGGGCCCGGGTGCAGCCAGGGCGGGAGGGAGGCTTCAATGGAGGCCAGGGTGTGGCAACCGCGGCTGCCCGAGCGGCCCACGCCCCCCGGGACGAGTCCGGCTCTGCACACTGGGTGCGGGAGAGGCCAGAGGTGGGCGGAGGATGGCGGCGCTGGGCCGGGGCACCGAGGCAGCCCCCCCTCCCTGGCAGGAAGCAGCCTGGGTGGGGACACCCAGGTGGCAGGGGAGGGACAGCCCCCAGCTCCCCGTGGACCCCTCTGGCTGGCCCTGCCCAGCGTCTGCAAACCCTCTGGCTTTGCTGGGCCTGAGGCTGCTCACGGCCGGTGCTGCCAGGCGCGTCGACCTTCCAGGGCTGCCCGGACCCCCAGCCCCTCCGCTCCTCTGATCTCTTTACAGCTAGTTTATTTAGGTCTGGAGAGTAACACAAGCTCTCACCTTCCAAACCGGAGTTTCTGCCAACATTTTGTTGCGCCAGCTCCATGTTCTCAGGAGGGAGGTGCCGTGAGCCACCTGCAGCCTGTGGCACCCATGGACGCCACGCAGTGACCTGCCCATGATAGCACCGTCCCCCACCCAGGGTCGTGAGGCGGGAGGAGGGGCAGACCCTGGGACTCAGTCCCCCTGGGCCCACCCTGGCGTCCTGTGGGCACAGCAGAAACAGGCTCCACACCCCCGATGGGGAAGCTCCCCAGGGCAGGGGTTCAAGATCCCTGCCTGCCACGGCGTGCAGTGGCCAACGGTGCTGGGAGTGGCCCTGCCCTGCCAGGAGTCAGATGGAGACCACGTCAAGCTGGGGGTCCATGGTGTCTCCCCCCGGGGGGGCCACTGTGGCTCCTGGGGTGGTGGGTGGGGACCGACCAGGGTGTGACCAGCGGCCGAGGTCAGCGTCAGCACAGCAGGACACTGCAGCCCTGGTGGGTGAGGGTCAGCTGGTCTGCAGGTCCCAGAGGA